CAACCTTTCCAGCTGGGCAGCCAGACGGAGGAGTGGATTAGCCCGGGCAAATCCTTTTAGCGCGCCCCATCACATGGTCCGTTTAAGTGGCTTGTTGGCTGCAAACCTCTCCCGCAAGGCAATTAGTAGCGCGGGGGGGGAGGGAGGAGAGAGCGAGGGAGAAGATGCCCTTTAAAGGGGAAAAGGACGGGGACGAACTTTGTCCGGAGAAAAATAGCACAGAGAGCGAGGTAAGCCAAGCACAAAAAGAAAGAAGGAAAGACAGAAGGAAAGAGGCTTTCCTGTCCTCTCTCTGGGCCGATCTTCTAGCGGCACCCCCGAGTGCTCTGATTTGTAGCAACGCCGTGCGTAAAAAGGGAGAAATGGGTTACTTTTAATGGAAGTTGGCACACCATGCATTTAAAGCGCCCGCGCTGCGCACACACAAGTATTGCGCACGGTAGTTTGAGGGCGCAGGGAGCTGTAGCTTTGCGATGGGTAATATACAATTCCCAGGATTCTCTCTTTTAGGGGGTTCGGATGTGCTTTAGAAGACGCCTGCGATTTAGAACACAAACGAAGGCTGTTGGGGGCGGGGCGGATTTGCGAGCCAGGATCTCCCGGGTTCTTGGGAAAGTGGGGCACTTCGATGTCTCTCTTTGCAGAGAGACGGGCTTCTGTGCTTGGTCTGGCAGGCAACAGTTGGCCGGGTGCAGCTTGCTCTCCTGGCGTGGAGATGCCACAAGGAAGGCTTCACCTGGTGGATTTCTGCCTGTTAGGGTGGGGTAGGTGAGAGATCCTGAAGCTGCGGCTCCAACACTTTGGCCACCTCATGAGAAGAGAAGATTCCCTGGAAAAGACCCTGATGTTGGGAAAGATGGAGGGCACAAGGAGAAGGGGACGACGGAGGACGAGATGGTTGGATAGGGTTCTCAAAGCTACCAGTATGAGTTTGACCAAACTGCGGGAGGCAGTGGAAGGCAGGAGTGCCTGGCGTGCTCTGGTCCCTGGGGTCGGACACGAGGGAGAGGAGCGAGCCAGAGCTCTCAAGTTCTCCCTACACGTGGGGCGGGGAGAGGCTCCGGTAAGGAAGAACCGGTCCGGGATGCCTGAGTGTGGGCGTTCCTCCCTTGGAGGCGGGGCTCCGGGCTCCGGTGTCCGCCAGGTGTGCTGGCTGCCCTTTCTCGGGGTGGAGCAGCGGCAGGTAAGGGAGAGATGATGTGTCACAGCTAATGGAGGGCGAACGGATGCGGCCAGCCTCCCCGCACAGGTAAGCACAGCAGCCTGGGGTCGAAAGGTGCGTGGTGGAGGGGAGGTGGCCCAGAGACGCCTGCAATGGCCGAGGGAGCAAATCAGTATAGAGTGAAACTGTATAATGCAAAGTCCACACTGGAGAAGCAATATGCCTCACCAGGACTCCTGGGTCCTCTTCTGTGGAGGAGGGAAGTGGGTCAGGAAGGCTCCCCAGGTAAGAAGGGATCTGAGCAGGAGCAGAGGGGCTGCAGTAGCTTAGGGGCACATGCTTTTCCATGAAAAAGAATCCAGGTTCAATCTACAGTGGTGCCTCGGGTTACATACACTTCAGGTTATGTACGCTTCAGGTTACAGACTCTGTTAACCCAGAAATAGTGCTTCGGGTTAAGCACTTTGCTTCAGGATGAGAACAGAAATCGTGTGCGGCAGCAGCAGGAGGCCCCATTAGCTAAAGTGGTGCTTCAGATTAAGAACAGTTTCAGGTTAAGTACGGACCTCTGGAACGAATTAAGTACTTAACCTGAGGTACCACTGTACTGCATTCCCCTGAAGAACAACTGCCAGTCAGTGTAAAGGTAAAGGGACCCCTGACCATTAGGTCCAGTCGTGACCGACTCTGGGGTTGCGGCGCTCATCTCGCTTTACTGGCCAAGGGAGCCGGCGTACAGCTTCCGGGTCATGTGGCCAGCCTGACTAAGCCGCTTCTGGCGAACCACAGCAGCGCACGGAAACGCCATTTACCTTCCCGCCGGAGTGGTACCTATTTATCTGCTTGCACTTTGACATGTTTTCGAACTGCTAGGTTGGCAGGAACTGGGACCAAGCAACGGGAGCTCACTCCGTCGCAGGGATTCGAACCGCTGACCTCCTGTTCGGCAAGCCCTAGGCTCTGTGATTTAACCCACAGCGCCACCCACGTCCCTGCCAGTCAGTGTAGACAATACTAAATTACTTGGACCCATGGTCTGAATTGAGGGATGGGGTGATAGGGTGGGTTGCAAAGGGGCTGGCAGCCAGAGCCTGCTGGAGAAGGAGTGGGACTGTAGCTCAGCAATGTGCAAAAGGTCCAGCCTTGGTTCAGTCCCTGGCATTACCCGTTATAAAAGGAAGTTGAAAGGAATATGGTGGCAGGCAATGGGAAGGCGAGGCTTACTGGGCTAGCGGTAGAATGGAGTCTGACCTGGAAGAAAGCAACTGTGCTGCCTGCTGCCAGATCTGGGCAGGGCTTGGGGGAAAAGGCAAAATTCCAGAAAGGTGGTTGCTACTGGTTTCTTGGGGCAGAAATCCTGGACAAGCAAAGTGACGAGGGTCTGATACTTTTATAGGCTGGAACCTGCTTAGTCAGATAGTATGTGGGTTCCTAGGCCTGAAAAACAATATCCAATGATTTAAAAAATGGACAGGTTTTTTTGTTTTGTTTTTAAAGGTGCCCCACAAATCCTGCTTGCTATCTCTGGTTGGCTTTGTAAGCTGAAGGGAGCTTGAGGGAAGCGATCAGTTCTGTCCTTATATCCTTGCTTAGGGTAGCTGTTCCCAGGAGCGAGAAGATTGCTTCTCTTGTGTGTATGGATTTATTACTCTCCCTTCCTGCCTCTGAAAAAAATCAATCGCCATCTGTCCCTGTTTTTCCCCTGGTCCCCTTTTGGACGTCTTGATCCAGAGACCGAGGTTACATACACACCATATGCACATAACTTTCCCCAGAGAAGGCTGGGAGCTGTAGTTCTGCACAGGATAAGCTACAGTTCCCCGGATTATTTGGGAGAAGCAAGATGCTTAAAAGGTACAGTGTGTGTACAGTGAGTTTAGAGCTGGATTTCCTGGCACCAGAGATGCTAGTCTTCTGCTTTCTTGATTCATAGCCACCAGCCCACCTGTTTTGCCTGGGGAAAGGAATATTTTCTCCAGGAGACACTGGTTGATAAGAACATAAGAAGAACATTGCTGGATCAGGGCAAAGGAACATCTAGCCCAAACTTTTTCAGCAGGGGCCAGTCCACTGTCCCTCAGACCTTGTGGGGGCCGGACTATATTTTTTTTTGGGGGGGAGAGGAAATGAACGAATTCCTATGCCCCACAAATAACCCAGAGATGCATTTTAAAGAAAAGGACACATTCTACTCATGTAAAAACACCAGGCAGGCCCCACAAATACAGTGGTACCTCGGGTTGAGTACTTAATTCGTTCCAGAGGTCTGTACTTAACCTGAAACTGTTCTTAACCTGAAGCACCACTTTAGCTAATGGGGCCTCCTGCTGCCGCCGGAGCATGATTTCTGTTCTCAACCTGAAGCAAAGTTCTTAACCTGAGGTAATATTTCTGGGTTAGCAGAGTCTGTAACCTGAAGCGTATGTAACCTGAAGCGTATGTAACCTGAGGTACCACTGTTAACCCAAAGATGCATTTTAAATAAAAGGACACATTCTACTCATGTAAAAACATGCTGATTCCCGGACCGTCCACGGGCCAGATTTGGAAGGCGATTGGGCTGGATCCGGCCCCCGGACCTTAGTTTGCCTACCCATGATCTAGCCCAACATCCTATTCTCACAGATATCTATGGGAAGCTCACAAACAAGACCCGTTCCAGGTCAAAATGTAGTCCAGCAACCTATTCTCACAATGGGCAACTGACTGCCTGTGTCGGAAGCCAGCAAGCAAGACCTGAGCACAAGAGAACTCTCATTATCCTGGATAGCTCAGTTGGTTAGAGCGAGGTGCTGATAACGCCAGGGTTGCAGGTTCGGTCCCCATAAGGGACAGCTGCGTATTCCTGCATTGCAGGGGGTTTGGACTAAATTATCCTCAGGGTTCCTTCCAACTCCACAATTCTGTGATTCTTTGATTCCTCTCCTGTAGTTTCCAGCAACTGGTATTTAGAAGTATTATTGTCTCTGATAAAGGTAAAGGGGACCCCTGGCCATTAGGTCCAGTCTTGGCCGACTCTGGGGTTGCGGCGCTCATCTCGCTTTATTGGCCAAGGGAGCCGGCGTACAGCTTCCGGGTCATGTGGCCAGCATGACTAAGCCGCTTCTGGCGAACCAGAGCAGCACACGGAAACGCCGTTTACCTTCCCGCCAGAGCGGTACCTATTTATCTACTTGCACTTTGAGGTGCTTTCGATCTGCCAGGTTGGCAGGAGCAGAGACCGAGCAACGGGAGCTCACTCCGTCGCAGGGATTCGAACCGCCAACCTTCTGATTGGCAAATCCTAGGCTCTGTGGTTTAACCCGGCTCCCTCGGCCAATAAAGCAAGATGAGCACCGCAACCCCAGAGTCGGCCACGACTGGACCTAACGGTCAGGGGTCCCTTCACCTTCACCTTCACTTGGTTCACATGCGTACACCTCCGTTATGACAAAGCCTAGTTTCACAGCAAGAATAAAACAGGTTCCGCTGTCAGAATAAATGTATGCCAGTGATGACATTTTTGTTGAATTTAAACTATTTATTAACTTGTGTTGATGCTGGCTTTCAAGTTGTAATCTTTAAAGCAGTTTAAAAACCAGGACTAGAAACATGCTCTTTTTTCCTCTCGGAAAAACATGAGAATACTTGGTGTGTTGCACTCTGTGTGCAAATTTGTGTGCTTTCACAGCTCTGGGTGGAGAGGAGAAAGAATGTACTCTCTTCCCCCACCCCAGCCCTCCACCTTCCTGGGAAATTACAGACTGTTTTTTAGTTCATGAAGTTTCTGGTTGGTCTGGTTTTTTTTGTTTCTAATCCTGGGTGTGTATTTGTAAAATATATTCTTTGCCTGCAGGTGCTTCTGGCATGTTGCATTTGGATAAATTTGGCAAGCAACGATCTTGATAAATGATACGAGCCATTGGGAGCGTGAACAGAGGAAGCCAAGCTGATCCATCAGTAGGTATTTCTGTTGTCGTCTTACTCAGAGTTGAAGCCGAGAAACTAGAACCTGGCTTTCGGATTTCCATTGGGGAGGCAGACTAGACCTTTAAGAGGCCCAGATCAAAAAATCAAATAGACACTCTTGAGTGCTCCAGAAACAAAAGCCCCAGGTACTATCTGGACTGAGACAGGATCAGAACACCGTAGTAAGGAAGCTACAATTAGAATTTTGGAGAGAATGAAATACAGGCCTTGAGGATCTAGAAAAACCAATCCAGAAACATTATTTGGCTTAGCCTGAACAGGTTGTTGAATACAGATAAGTTATAGAAGTTGCAGCTCTTTCAGTGATTTACAGCTGCCAGGGACTACATGGAGGCTCAGAAAAGCGCAGGATTTCCTTCCGCTGCCCCTCGCTTCTGAACCCATGGAGAGCCTCAACAATTTCTGCCGCCTCTGCGGCGCGGTGCTTCGCGGCAACCACCGGCGATGGCTCTTCAGCCGCAGTGGGGGCAGTTCGTGCCCTGACCTGCAGGTGGTGCTGTCCTACGTCCTCAGCCGGGAGCCTCCCCAGCGCGGCGACGGGCGGGGGGAGTTCTTGTGCGGGAAATGCGCCCAGGCCTTGGGCCGGGTGTACCGTTTTGACACCGTCATTGCCCGGGTGCAAGCCCTGTCCATCGACCGCCTCCAGCGCCTGCTCTCAGAGAAGGATCAACTGGCTCGCACCCTCCGCCACATCCACGCGCAGCGGTTCCCGGAGGATGCCGGCGCCACGTTCTCCTACGTGGGCCAAGAGATCTCTGCCAGCATCGCGGATCTGCCCCACGTGCGCTACCAGCGCCTCCTGCAGGACGACATGGCCCTCTCTCAGTATGAGTGCTGGGCCGGGGACGCCGACGGCAGCAGCCCGGGGACGCCCTGCCGGTCGCGGCAGTGCCGCAGCTGCCACGGGCTCCGGGTGGAGGATTCGGATTACGAGTGGGTGTGCCGGACCCCGAGGCGGCTGGGGGTGCTGTCTCCCGGCTTCCCCCTCTGCCGGGACAAGTCGCAGAGCATGCCCACGGTCCACCGCGCCGGCTCCCGCGCCTCGCTCCGCTCGCAGAGCTTGGGAGACGCTGAGTCTTGCTCGATGCTGTCGTTGGACACTCTGCACACTCTGCCAGAGTCAGACGTGGCCTGGGAGGCTCTGAGGGCACTGAGGGGCATCGAGAGGAAACAGCTGCGGGTGCCGGCGGGCAGCAAGATCCCGGTGCTGGCCAGGAACAGGCATGTGCCCACTCCTCGGAGGGAGAGCCCCTTGGGGGAGGAGGCATTTGAAGAGATGGTGGATGAGTTCCTGCCGCTGGAGCCGAAGGTAAGAGGCAGAAAGAGGCAAGCAGGCGAGGTCTTCTCTGAGGATCTATGCTTAAATCACTCCTGCTCAAGGAATCCATGCAGCAAAACTGCTTTAATGGTGTAGCATATTTGTGAGCTAAGCTATCGGGAGCCAGGCCGCAATAAATCACACTGAGTACATGAAGTTAACTCTTTATTAAAATAAACTAGACCTGCTCAGGGGAGACAGGCCTAATGAGCATAGCAATTCTTCTTGGTAGATCTTGGCCCTATGAGGCCAAGAGTAAAGATTCCCACAGCCTTCCCACAGCTGCTTAAGTTTCCTTCTCTCCTGGGTCCTTCCCAAGCAATCTGAGACTCTGCCGTCTTGCCTGCCTGTGCTCCTCTCTCTTCATACCTCTTCGGGTCCTGGGAGACTGTAGGGAGAGGACCTTGTCACAGCAGGAGCGGGGAGACCTCCTGTACTCTTCACCAGCCTGACTCATCTCTGCCTCTTGCCTCCTCTCCTGATTCCGCTTCTGCTTCCGGACTGCTCTCTGCCACAGCTTCTCCCTGCTCACTAAACCCTGTTGCCTTTTCAGCTTCCAACCCTCCTCTTCCTAGTCTGCTCCCTCTTCTTGCTCTGACCACTCATCATCATCCCACCACCTCTCCCTGGGGGTCCCCCAACTGGTGCCTCCCAGCATTCCTCTGCATCCAGCCAGACCACGGCATGTTGCGTGTGTGGATGTCAGATTTAACCATGGTTTGTTTGATGCCAGCAACCACAACATGAGGCTGTAGTTTGTTATTGGCTTATGAACCTCCTAAACATCCACCAAACTAAAGAGGTAGAACCAGCTTGGGGGGGGTGGGGGACAAAACAAACCTTGAGGAAATAAACCAGGGGTCAGCAAACTTTTCCAGCAGAGGGCCGGTCCACTGTCCTTCAGACCTTGTGGGGGGCCAGACTATATATATATATTTTAAAAATGAGCGAATTCCTATGCCCCACAAATAACCCAGAGATGTGTTTTAAATACAGTGGTACCTTGGGTTAAGTACTTAATTCGTTCTGAGGGTCCGTTCTTAACCTGAAACTGTTCTTAACCTGAAGCACCGCTTTAGCTAATGGGGCCTCCTGCTGCTGCCGTGCCGCCACACAATTTCTGTTCTCATCCTGAAGCAAAGTTCTTAACCTGAGGTACTATTTCTGGGTTAGCGGAGTCTGTAACCTGAAGCGTATGTAAACAGAGGTACCACTGTAAAAACACACATTCTACTCATCTAAAAACACCAGGCAGGCCCTACAAATAACCCAGAGATGCATTTTAAATAAAAGGACACATTCTACTCATGTAAAAACACACTGATTCGCGGGCTGGATTTAGAAAGCGATTGGGCTGGATCCTGCCCCCCGGCCTTAGTTTGCCTACCCATGAAATAAACCATACTTTGTCTGCTCATTTCTGAGCTAACCCAGGAACTGTTGAAGCAAACCATGGTGTATACTGGGTCCAAATTCCCACCCAGCCATGGCTGACCTTGGGCCAGATGCTTCCTCTCAGCCGAACCAACCTTGCCAGCGTTCTTGTGTGGTTCAAATGGAGATGGGAAGAGCAATGCACGCTGCCTTCAGCTCCTTGGAGGAGCCTAGAAGTTAAGAGGCGGTTTCTGGTGGGAAAATGCGGCAAGAGTATCCAACACAAAAGCAGCCTGTCTGCCTGATTCTGGCCCCGAAACTTCCGGTTTTATTCCTCCCTTGCCCCACGGGACCCTAATTAGGGGGCACACCCCTGGTGAGGACTTGAGGCCTGGCAAGACCTCTAGAACTCTCACCCGCATAGATCTTGCCACCCAGGAATCCTCCCGGTCTAACCCTGTTTTCTTTCCCTTAGTTCCAGGCTCAGCAGATGCTGCAACAGGATTTCCAAGGGGCGTATGAGAACCTGAAGCAGCGCCTTGAGGCTGCCGAAGAAGAACTCAGGAGCTTTCAGGAGAAGCTGGGAGAGGACGTGAAGCCGGTAGAGCCATTTTGCTTTGGGGCAGGGGAGGGAAAACTGGCCAGGGCAGCCTTTGCTTCCCTCCCAAATTGCAAGCTGCGCATAGGGAGCTCTGGAGCCTTCTGTCCAGTCAGACCTTGGCGTCATCTAGTTCAGGATTGTCTGCACTGGCTGGCAGCTGCTTTTGTTAGCTGTTGTTGTCCCTCTAGGACCGCCTAGAGGGGCTGGGAGCTGGGGGCCCTGTTATACAGTGGTTCCGCTCCTTCCTCCTGGGCCGTGTTCAGAAAGTGGTGGTGGGAGAGGAGTGTTCAGACCCCTGGGCTCTCACTTGTGGGGTGCCTCAGGGTTCTGTCCTCTCCCCCATGCTTTTCAACATCTACATGCAGCCGCTGGGAGAGATCATCAGGAGGTTTGGGCTGGGTGTTCATCAGTATGCGGATGATACCCAGCTCGACCTCTTTTTCAAATCAGAACCAGTGAAGGTGGTGAAGGTCCTGTGTGAGTGTCTGGAGGCAGTTGGAGGATGGATGGCGGCTAACAGATTGAGGTTGAATCCTAACAAGACAGAAGTACTGTTTTGGGGGGACAGGAGACGGGCAGGTGTGGAGGACTCCCTGGTCCTGAATGGGGTAACTGTGCCCCTGAAGGACCAGGTGCGCAGCCTGGGAGTCATTCTGGACTCACAGCTGTCCATGGAGGCACAGGTCAAATCTGTGTCCAGGGCAGCTGTTTATCAGCTCCATCTGGTACGCAGGCTGAGACCCTACCTGCCCGCAGACTGTCTCGCCAGAGTGGTGTAAACAGTGTTTCTGTGCGCTCCAGTTTCCATCATGGTGTCCCGTTGCACCAGAAGTGGTTTAGTCATGCTGGCCACATGACTCGGAAAGCTGTCTGTGGACAAAAACCAGCTCCCTCGGCCTGAAAGCGAGATGAGCGCTGCAACCCCATAGTCACCTTTGACTGAACTTAACTGTCCAGGGGTCTTTACCATTTTACCTTTACCTATTATAACAACTATTATGGAGTTCTCTTCTCAGGACAGCCCTGAGCAAGTGGTGGTGTGATATTGCTAAGCTAGGCCATTGCTCCTGTTTCTGGTGGAGGCAGTGAAGGGTGCTGCCCCATCTCTAGTGTTGAAGTAAGAATGTACTGCCAGCCTGGCTGGCATATGGGAAAGTGGATGGGGATCACCTTCTTTTTATTTTCCCTTGGGTAGCAAAATGTCTGATCGTAGTAGCTCAGTGATGGAGCATCTGCATTGCATTACGAAGGCCCCAGTCCCTGGCGTTTCCAGGTCAGGCTGGGCAAAGCTGCTGCCTGAAAAACTGGACAACTGCTGCCGGTCAGAGTTGACAGTACTGAGTTGAATAGACTTGGTGAAAAGCACTCAGTTCTGACTTGGTGAAAAGCAGGTTGCCAAGTCTTGGTTTAGCACTGCCTCTTGATGTTAGGACCTGGTCACTGTTTCCTTTTTGCTCCCTTCCCTGCCCTCTTGGGCCTACCTCAGAATTTGTCCAAAACTGTTTTGTTTTGTTCCCCAATATTAGGAGGCTGGGATTTCACCGGAGGTGAAGGCCGGCAGTAGCCAAGAGCGGCTGATTCAGCAGCTGGCAAGGTGTCTGCAGAGCAAGGAAAGGGCCTTACAGGTGAGGAGGGAGAGGGAAAAAAAACCTTGGCATCCCATGCTGTGAAAGAGTGGCCCATCCAAATCTCTCAAACAGGTGAAAAGGATGAATCGGAGGTGCAGGCTTCCCATGGAGGCATCCGGTCATCCACAGTGAGAACAGGAAACTGGCTGGGCCTGATCCTGCAGGGCTCTTCTTACACAGAAATGGGGGAACCTGAATGGGACAGCTGTTTTTTGTCATAACCTCTAATACCTTTTCCTGCATGGGTTTCCTCAGACCCTCTATTGGTGGTTCTCTGATAGCTTTCTCTGGGTGGCCCTGTGGTCTAAACTACTGAGCTTCTTGGGCTTGTCTATCGGAAAGTCAGCGGTTCGAATCCCTGTGACGGAGTGAGCTCCCGTTGCTCTGTCCCAGCTCCTGCCAACCTAGCAGTTCGAAAGCACACCAGTACAAGTAGATAAATAGGTACCACTGCAGCAGGAAGGTAAATGGTGTTTCCGTGCGCTCTGGCTTCCTTCACAGTGTCCCGTTGTGCCAGAAGCGGTTTAATCCTGCTGGCCACATGACCCAGAAACAGTCTGTGGACAAATGCTGGCTCCCTCGGCCTGAAAGCGAGATGAGCGCCACAATCCCATAGTCGCCTTTGACTGGACTTAACCGTCCAGGGGTCCTTTAACTTTTTTACTGATACCTTTATTTGGGTGCCGCCCTTCAGAGACGTTCAAAGGACAGCAGTGCAAGAACAGGGCTTTTGAGGGGATTAGTCCTGTATTTGTGGAACATTCCATTTTTATGGCGCAAGTCAAAGACCTTTTTATTTTCTGAGGCATTTTGGTGCTGATGTTGTTCTGTTTCAGTGGCTCCCCCCCCCCTTATTTTTAACCAAATTTGTTGTTCTTGGGCTGTGGGAGAGAGGTGTTTTTTTTTTTTTTTTGGCATGAACTTTTGAAGTAGCAGTGAGGAACTTAAGTGGCCCTCCATTCTTCTCTGAGTGGCCCTCAGCACTCTCCTCAGGCCAATGCTCCTCCCCGGCCCTGATTCACATCTCCCTTGAGTGATTTTACCCCTTGCTGGAATGCCTCATTGACCCTTTATAAGGACTCTTGCATGCTTAGATTGAGAATAGAGAAGGACTGAATCTTGGAACAGCTTCAAAAGCTGGATTTCTGCCTGTTTTGAGAACCAAAGTTGCCCTGGTTCAAATTCTCCCCTGCCGTGACACTTGCTGAGCTTGCTTGAGCCAGTGGTGTGCTCCCGGCCTAACCTGCCTCACAGGGTTGTTGTGAGGATTAAAATGTGCATAATTTTGTGTGCTGCTTTGAGCTCCCTGGAATAAGGATGGGTTAAGATTTCAGAAACTATTTTTTCCCCAAAGGTAACTGAGGCATAGGCACCTCTCCCCTTCCAATACCTCAAATGGCAATGGGCAGGACATGGTGGCTTTTGTAGTAAGGTTAAAGCTTACTGGGAAATGATATATAATGAATTGAAAAAGATGTTTAAAATAGCATTTTTAAAACAACAACAACCCAGAAGCCTTCCTTTTGGGAATTACAAAAGGAATTCGGGTTAAGTACTTTGTTCCGGAGGTCTGTTCTTAACCTGAAACTGTTCTTAACCTGAAGCACCACTTTAGCTAATGGGGCCTCCTGCTGCCGCCACGCAATTTCTGTTCTCATCCTGAAGCAAAGTTCTTAACCTGAGGTACTATTTCTGGGTTAGCGGAGTCTGTAACCTGAAGTGGAGTCTGTAACCTGAAGTGGAGTCTGTAACCCGAGGTACCACTGTATAGGGTATACCCAGACTGTATCGAAATTTATTCATGTATGCGACTACAGCGGCAAGAATGTTACTTGCCCCAAAATGGAAAGAAGAAGTCCCAGCAAAAGAAGAATGGATACAAAAACTTGTGGAATATGCAGAAATGGCGAAACTTACCGGAAAAATAAGAAATCCAGATACCAAATTTTTATAAAAGAATGGAAATGGTTTATTGAATATTTACAAACAAACTGTAAACAGATAAGAGCGTCGGCAGGATTATTGTAATAACCTGCAGTTTTATAAGAGTATATATTTAAAGTAGATGAATAAATGAGCAAATGAAGTTAATTTGGATATGCAGAAAATATTAAAAATAGTTTTAAGGAACCGCAGAAAGAGGGGGAAGGAAGTTGAGCTTTGAAATATTAAAATGATTGTAAACATATAAACCTGAAAAGCATAAATAAAATAAAATAAAAAGCAGCATAGAAGTTAAAATGATTGCAAAGTTATTGAAATGTATGAAATTGAAGATTATGAATAAAATAATTTTAAAAGGGGAATGGGTAGGATGTAGGAAAGGATTTCAGCTCCTCAGCATAAAGCGCTCTCTCTCTCTCTCTCTCTCTCTCTCTCTCTCTCTCTCTCTGTGTGTGTGTGTGTGTGTGTGTGTGTGTCATCCTCTTTCTCTTCCCCAGGACTGTCTTCTCCTCTTGCAGTCTCTTGGCCCTGCGGGGGTCAAGCCCTCCATGCTGGAAGCCCAGATAAAGCAAATGGCCCATCGCCTGAAGGAGAGAGACCAGGCCTTAGAGGTAACGGGAGTGCATGGAGCCAGAAATAGGACCCTGATCACTGAGGATCCCGATCCACACATCCAATTTCTGCTTTAACAGCCATGGAGAATCCTGGGAACTTTAGTTTTAAGGGTGCTTGGGATTGGAGGTCTATGCAGTCAGCACCATTAACCAGCTACATCTCCCAGGACACTCTGGGGGAAAGCAGTGACTGTTAAAGTGGCATGAGAGGGTTTTAAATGCACGTGCGAACCATGAAAGCTTGTGCCGCAATAAATTTGTTAGGGCCGCATCACCACCATCTATTCAAAGCGCTTGTAACGCACTTGGCTTCCCTCAAAGAATATTGGGAACTGTAGTTCCCCCCTCACAGAGAAACAATTCCCAGTGCCCTAAACAAACTACAGTTCATCCCAACCTTGGTCTAGTATACCTGAAGGAGCATCTCCACCCCCATCGTTCTGCCCGGACACGGAGGTCCAGTGCTGAGGGCCTTCTGGCGGTTCCCTCCCTGCGAAAAGCCAAGTCACAGGGAACCAGGCAGAGGGCCTTCTTGGTAGTGGCACCCGCCCTGTGGAACGCCCTCCCACCAGATGTCAAAGAGAACAACAACTACCAGACTTTTAGAAGACACTTGAAGGCAGCCCTATTTAGGGAAGCTTTTAATGTTTAATAAACTATTGTATTTTAATATTCTGTTGGAAGCCGCCCAGAGTGGCTGGGGAAACCCAGCCAGAAGGGTGAGGTATAATTAATAAATTGTTGTTGTTGTTTGGGGAGAAGTCATGTGCATTAAATTTCTGCTAATCTGCTTTAAATGTATCGATCAATCTGGCAAGTTTTTTTGCTGCATCAGACTTTGGATCTTGGGAATCAAAACTCCCTGCTGATCTACTGCCAGTCCTCCCGGGATCTACCAATATTATTCATGAATTAATTATTGAGTTTATATACCGCCCTATACCCAGAGGTCTCAGGGCGGTTCACAGAAAAGATCACAACATATAGAATCAGAATAAAAATAACAACCCAATAACACCCCCCCAGAAAAGAGCCACATTTTGAAAGAGTATAGGGTGTCAAATAGATTAACCAAAGGGCTGATTAAAGGGAGCATGGATAGTTTTTGCCTGGCGTCTGAAGATGTGTAATGAAGGCACCGGGCGAACTTCCCTGGGGAGAGCATTCCACAGACGGGGAATCGATCCTGATCTGTCTTCTTCCCATTCCATATGTAAGGCATTGGTTTGATTCGGAGTAAGGCAGCTCCTGGTATCTCTTCATTTTGTCTCCTTCTCATTGCCCTGACAGAAGACCTTGTCCGGTCACTTCCTGGCATTGGAGTCTGTGCACCGTGAGGTGAGGCACCTTCAAGAGGCGCTGAAGGACAAAGACGCCGACCTGGCAAGACTTGGCGCTGCCCTCCGCACAGGAGAGGAGACCTTGCATGTATGAACGGAGAGAGGGGTACTGTGATCGAGGGAGGAGGGGCCCAAAACTAAGGACAATATGGTGGGAAGTTATTTGTACTTCAACACAGTGGGAAAACTAATTTGAGTCCTAGCCTCTCCTGTGGGCAAGGCTGGTGATTTTAAATATACCTGTCCATGGAGGCGCAGGTTAATTCTGTGTCCAGGGCGGCTGTCTACCAGCTCCATCTGGTACGCAGGCTGAGACCCTACCTGCCTGCGGACTGTCTCGCCAGAGTGGTGCATGCTCTAGTTATCTCCCGCTTGGACTACTGCAATGCGCTCCTTTGAAGGTGACCCGGAAACTGCAATTAATCCAGAATGCGGCAGCTAGACTGGTGACTGGGAGTAGCCACTGGGACCACATAACACCGGTCCTGAAAGATCTACACTGGCTCCCAGTACGTTTCCAAACACAATTCAAAGTGTTGGTGCTGACCTTTAAAGCCCTAAACGGCCTCTGCCCAGTATACCTGCCCAGTATATCTCCACCCCCATCGTTCAGCCCAGACACTGAGATCCAGCACCGAGGGCCTTCTGGCGGTTCCCTCATTGCAAGAAGTGAGGTTACAGGGAACCATACAGAGGGCCTTCTCGGTAGTGGCGCCCGCCCTGTGGAACACCTTCCCTTCAGATGTCAAGGAAATAAGCAGTTTTCTTCTCTTTAAAAGATATCTGAAGGCAGCCCTGTTTAGGGAAGTTTTTAATATTTAATGCTGTATTGTTTTTAACACTTGATTGGAAGCCGCCTAGAGTGGCTGGGGAAACTCAGCCAGATGGGCGGGGTATAAATAATAATAATAATAATAATAATAATAATAATAATAATAATAATAATAATAAATAATATAACTATATGCATATATAGATATATACACACACACACATTTTTTAAAATTTTGGGCTATGTTTCTTTCTGAATGGAATTCTGGATAAACCCTGATAGCTTGGAACTTTTGTGTTTCAGCAAATGAACAACCAAGAACTAAGTTTCTAGCCCTCTTGGCTGCAAAGGCACATTGACCTGACATTTCAGATAAACGTAGGCTAGGCCTTTGCCTTGTGTTTTAAGAAGGATGTGAGGAGCAGCACGGCATCATGGGAAATGCAGCCCATTTCACTAACTTGTGTTCTCACTTTGTCTCGTTTGCTTTTCACATCTTTCCTTCTAGTATGTTAATTTTTTAAAGAAAAAACACGTGACATTTGAAAACATTTTTTTTTTAAAAAAATAGTCCATTGTTTGCTGGGGATAATTAATCTGGATTCTTCCAGGGTTAGACAGACAATCCCGGATACAAAAAGTTTGCTGGGTTTAGCAGTCAGGATTCTATGGTTGCTAAGAGACGGCACCTCCAATGACACGGTTGTTTCTGCGAGGACAAAGGAGGATCCGTGAAAATAACATTGCTTTCTCCTGTTCTGGGGGTTTGTCTTGTCTACCCTTGGCGATTGCCCCTCTTCCCCCCAGGCTTTGCGCGAAGTGCTGCATCAGAAGGATCGGGAGATCCAGCGGCTGGAATCTCTCTCCGCCTCGACCCGCGGATCCTGGCAGCAGCGGGACCAAACTTTGCTCCTGGCCTTGAAGGAGAAGGAAGCCTTAATCAAAGCCCTCCAGGAAGCGCTCGCCAGCAGCACCAAGGATGTGGAGGTAGCAACTGCTAGGTTTCTAGTTCTCATTGCCTCTCCTCCTTGGCAATGCTAGAATGCCGCAGGATTTTTGATATTTAACACGTGCGACGCAAATGTGCGATCTCCCTGATACCATTGTGAGCACCAACCATCATGAACGCAATGGAACACAGGTCTGGAGGGGACCCAAGAACTTTCTCTCAATGTTCAACTGAAATTGAGCCTAGGCCTTGCCAATCAGAAGGTCGGCGGTTCGAATCCCCACGACGGGGTGAGCTCCCGTTCCTCGGTCCCTGCTCCTGCCAACCTAGCAGTTCGAAAGCACGTCAATGTGCAAGTAGATAAATAGGTACCGCTCCGGCAGGAAGGTAAACAGTGTTTCCGTGCGCTGCTCTTGTTCGCCAGAAGTGGCTTAGTCATGCTGGCCACATGACCCAGAAGCTGTCTGCAGACAAACGCCTGCTCCCTTGGCCTGACCTGTCGTTCTACCTGACACCTGCCGGCTACCTGATCATAAGCGTCACATGAGCCGTTTGGAGTGTGCCAATCGGAGCCGATCAGAGTGGTACAGAGTGCATGGACTGGGCTCTGGTTTGCCAGAAGCAGCTTAGTCATGCTGGCCACATGACCCGGAAGCTGTACTCCGGCTCCCTCGGCCAGTAAAGCAAGATGAGCGCCGTAACCCCAGAGTCGGCCATGACAGGACCTAATGGTCAGGGATCCCTTTACCTTTAATTGAGGTCCATAAGCTCTATTCCTGCAAAAAAAAAAAAAACCCAAAAAAATTCCCCTCTTTTTCGGCTGTGGCCCCGATCTGGTGGAACGCTCTGTTACAAGAGACTAGGGCCCTGCGGGACTTGACATCTTTCCGCTGGGCCTGCAAGACAGAGCTGTTCCACCAGGCCTTTGGCCAGGGCACAGCCTGACTCCCTCCTTTGGTAATTCTTCACAGAACTCTAGCCCAATGGTTGCCATTAATCTGTTTTGAATTAATTTTATAATGAAATGATTTTAGAATGTTTTATCATTTTACTGGTGTTAGCCGTTCTGAGCCCGGCTTCGGCTGGGGAGGGCGGGATATAAATAAAATTTTATTTATTATTATTATTATTATTATTATTATTATTATTATTATTTCTCCACCCAAGGCGCTCGCCAATTCCCTCGGCAGCCCCGACTTTGACCCAGGGCTGCTCCAGAGGATCCAGGAGAAGGAAGACTTGCTGGCCCGGTCTTTGGCTGAACAGGAGGAGATCAGAGCCCAGTGGCAGAGGCGCCTGGAAGCTGTGGAAAATGCGGCTTCTGCCACGGAACAGGAGCTGCAGGTAGGAATGAGAAGGAGAACACAGGGGCACTCTGTGGGATCTTAACTATCTCCAGAAGATTTCTTTCTTTCTTTCTTTCTTTCTTTCTTTCTTTCTTTCTTTCTTTCTTTCTTTCTTTCTTTCTTATTATTTATTCAACTTATTACTCACTTGAGGAACTTTTGTAAAACAATAAATGCAAAAGTAATTCGCAACAAAAATAAATAACATACCAAGCCAGTAGAAAGCAAAACGGAGGGGGGAAAGATAACATCAACATCAACAACAACAACAACAACAATTTATTATCTATACCCCAAGGGACACGGGTGGCGCTGTGGGTTAAATCACAGAGCCTAGACTTGCCGATCAGAAGGTCGGTGGTTCGAATCCCCGCGATGGGGTGAGCTCCCGTTGCTTGGTCCCTGCTCCTGCCAACCTAGCAGAGGACCAGAGCACGCCAGGCACTCCTGTCTTCCACTGCCTCCCGCAGTTTGGTCAAACTCATGCTGGTAGCTTTGGGAACACTGTCCAACCATCTTGTCCTCTGTCATCCCCTTCTCCTTGTGCCCTCCATCTTTCCCAACATCAGGGTCTTTTCCAGGGAGTCTTCTCTTCTCATGAGGTGGCCAAAGTCTTGGAGCCTCAGCTTCAGGATCTGTCCTTCCAGTGAGCACTCAGGGCTGATTTCCTTCAGAATGGAGAGGTTTGATCTTCTTGCAGTCCATGGGACTCTCAAGAGTCTCCTCCAGCACCATAATTCAAAAGCATCAATTCTTCGGCGATCAGCCTTCTTTATGGTCCAGCTCTCATTTCCATACATCATTACTGGGGAAACCATAGCTTTAACATCAATATACAATAGTGCTTTTTAAAAATACATAGGGAATCTGCCCACAGCCGCCGCAGCCTTTGCGCCTCCGTGTCCGCCCCAGTGCATCCCCTGCGATTGTGAATATGCTGACTGAGGCCCCCTTTGGTATCAGAGGCCCGGGCCAAGAGGCCCATCTGGCCCCCCCCCCTCTGTCTGGGCCTGGTTGTAGCAAGCCAATCAACAAAGCAGATCCCACAAGCCTGAAGTTTGTCCTGCGTCAGCCAGGTGACAATAACGGAAATTCTCAATCTTCTCCATCTCGTTGCAGGAGCAGCTGCGGCGCCATTTGCAGGATGCCCGAGAACGGGCACAGGAAGCAGAGAAGCTGCGCAGGCGCCTGGCGCAGGCAGAGGCAGAGCTCACCCAGGGAGCTGCAGCTCTGGAGGAGCATCGCGCAGAAGTTGCGCGGCTGCAGGGGATGGAGGCAGTGAAGGAGCAGGTCCTGGAGGTGAGCGGTTTTTGTTTTGTTTTCAAAAAAGGATTCTTGGGAGACTAGGATGCTCCAGACATGGAAAAACAGGTCAAGAGCTGGAGTGGACCTGCCAGACTTTCCCTTAGAACCTCAAAATCCTGTGACTACAATTTGTGTACAGTGGTACCTCTGATTGCGAATGGAATCCGTTCCGGAGGCCCGTTCGCAACATGAAAAGAGCACAACCTGCAGCGGCACATCTGTGCATGCACAGGTTGTGATTCACTGCTTCTGCGCATGCGCGTGACGTCATTTTGCGCTTCTGCGCATGCGCGAGCGGCGAAACCCGGAAGTCACCCTTTCCGTTACTTCCGGGTTGCCGCGGGACGTAACCTGAAAGAACGTAACATAAAGCAAATGTAACATGAGGTATGACTGTATAGGAAATGTACATGCAGCCCACTGCCTGCTGTGCTGTATTACTACATTATTACATTATTATCTCGCTCTGCTTCTTTCTGTTGCATTTCCCCCACTAAATGGAGCTGGCAAGTGGAGCCTTCCTTCTCCGCCCCCCAACTTTTAAAATAGATCCAAATTTAATATTTCATCAGCAAGGTTTGTGAAAATCTCTTCCCTGCAGGCTTGGTCTCCCTTTGTTTACCAGCCTTTTAATTGTTATCTTTCCAGCTTCAGTGGCAGGAAGAAAATAGCAAAGCTTAAAAACAAAAAAGAAATCTGAGTAAATACAACAATAAGAATCTCTTTCTTATTGCTCAGCTCATCCTAACATTTACTGCCCGTCCTCAAAGCTGGCTTTCTTCTTCTGCTCTGATATCTAGCAAGCTCTTTCACCACATGGAATTTGCCTGGTTTAATTCCTTGCTTAGCATCTAGTGGCTGACATAGGAATTACACTTTTTGACATCAGGACACGGGTGGCGCTGTGGTCTAAACCACTGAGCCTCTTGGGCTTGCCGATAGTAGGAAGGTTGGCGGTTCGAATCCCCGTGAAGGGGTGAGCTCCCGTTGCTCGGTCCCTGCTCCTGCCAACCTAGCAGTTTGAAAGCACACCAGTGCAAGCAGATAAATAGGCACTGCTGTGGCGGGAAGGTAAATGGCATTTCCATGCACTCTGGCTTCCGTCATGGTGTCCCGTTGCGCCAGAAGCAGTTTAGTCATGCTGGCCACATGACCCGGAAAGCTGTCAGCGGACAAACGCCGGCTCCCTTGGCCTGAAAGCGAGATGAGCACTCCAACCCCATAGTTGCCTTTGAATGGGCTTAACTGTCCAGGGGTCCTTTACCTTTACCTTAAATTTTTTGATGGAGCAGGTTCAGCTACAGGGAGTGCCAGTGTGGCACCCATGGGTGCCCATAATTCCACACACACACACCAACTCCTAGGGGCTGAGGTCCCTTTCCTCCCTCCCAATAAAATGTTTGAGGGGCGCAGCCCACCTGCCCACCCTCCCCCCAATTCATGGGTATTGTCATTCAAATGTGCCGTGTCTTCTCATCTATTATGTGGAGCGGGGCATACTACCCCCCCAAAATATTTTATTCAAGTTGGCACCCCTGCACACACACACACACACACACACACACACACACAGCCCCCTTGCAAACGAGGCAGTGAGGGAGGGCCACCTTCTTCCTTGAAAACTACACAGAGCCGAAGGAGGAAGTTGGAAGAAGTGACGCTCTTTCCCACTTCCTCTTTCCACTCTCTGTGCTTTTCAGAGCTTGGATTAATTCTTCTGGACCTGACATTTACCCAGATCCCTTGGCTCAGAGAAAAGTGTGTGTGTGCGCGCGCACACACACACACACACACTTTCTCTTGCCTGGAGGTGGGGGTTGCTGATATGGAGATAGGAAAGAGACTTGACTGGAGTGGGTGGCACCCATGGACAGGGGCGTACGAAGTGGGGGGCGGAGGGGGCAGGCCGCCCCGGGTGCCACTCTGGAGGTGGGTGACAAGATGGCCCCTGCCTCCACCCAGCTGTAGAGCAGCCGAGGGCGCGTACTGTCCATATGGGCATCTGTACGGGCTGCTCCGTGCGCGCACTCTGTACGGGATGCTGCACATGCGCAGTCCGTACGGATGTTGCACATGTGTCACCGGGCGGTGCATTCCACCCCAGGTGCTGGAGAGGGTTCTCCGCCACTGCCTGTGGGGCACACTCCCCCAAACATGCCCATGGCCTTGGTGATGATACGTCTGACAGCTGCTTCTGACATCACAAACTCTTCTGGCGGTTCCCTCATTGCAAGAAGCAAAGCTACAGGGAACCAGGCAGATGGCCTTCTTGGTGGTGGCGCCCGCCCTGTGGAACGCCCTCCCACCAGATGTCAAAGAGATAAATAACTACCTGACATTCAGAAGACATCTGAAGGCAGTCCTGTTCAGGGAAGCTTTTAATGTGTGACATCTTAGTGTATTTTTGGTCTTTGTTGGAAGCCGCCCAGAGTGGCTGGGGAAACCCGGCCAGATGGGCTGGGTACAAATAATAAATTATTATTATTATTATTATTATTATTTCATACCCGGCAGGAAGCTTTGCGAGAGGCAGAGGAGAAGGACCGGGTCCTACAGAGGTTGCAGGAGCTCTGGCTGAAGAAGGTGCCAGGGAGAGAAAGTATGTGGCTGGGAGGGGCGCAGAGGGTCAGGGTGGGAAGTTGCTGCTCTTTTGTAGCAGAGCTCGAGGCCAGCTCAAGATGTTTTGCTGCTTGACACGCACAAGCTGATCTCCACCCCACCCCCTAAAAAGAGAAACCAACTGAACCTCCACCGGACCCTTATTTGAACACTGGCAATCGCTTTATACAAAGTCAGACTATTGGTCTATCTAGCCTGGTATTGTCTACCGAATTCTCTCAAAGCTGTACTTGTGGATTCCACAGATTGAAGCTGGGACTTTCTGTGTGCAAAGTGGCTCCTCTAGTGTAGAGCTACAGCCCTTTCCCAAAACCAGAAGAGGTAACACAGCAGTAGAGACAGGAGGGAGGGGAAAAAGCACCCACCTGCAGCCCCAGTGGAGCAGGTTCAAAAGAAGCGAGAGGGGGCAGACATTCTGCTGCAGCCCTGCTCCAGATGTTTTGGACCACAACTCCCATCAGCCCTGGCAGGCACAGCTGTGTTGCCATCTGCTCCAGCATCTTCCAACTGATTGGGAGCCCGAAGCATCCGCAAGCGTGCCTTATTCAGAGAAGCTGTATGACGCTACTTGCAATAATACCAAGATGCTGCGGTCTAAACCACTAAGCCTCTTGGGCTTGCCATCAGAAGGTCGGCGGTTCGAATCCCCGCGATGGGGTGAGCTCCCGTTGCTCAGTCCCTGCTCCTGCCAACCTAGCAGTTTGAAAGCACACCAGTGCAAGTAGATAAACAGGTGGCAGGAAGGTAAATGGCGTTTCTGGTTTCCATCACGGTGTCGATTGCGCCAGAAGTGCTTTAGTCATACTGGCCACATGACCCAGAAAGCTGTCTGTGGACAAACGCTGGCTCCCTTGGCCTGAAAGTGAGATGAGTGTCTCAACCCCATAGTCGCCTTTGACTGGACTTAACCATCCAAGGGTCCTTTACCTTTTACCTTTACCTTTTTTCTGACCAAGATGTACCCCACATCCTGCATGCGTTGCTTGAGAGTTGGGGAAGGCTACCTATGGGACGCGGGTGGCGCTGTGGGTTAAACCACAGAGCCTACGGCTTGCCTATCAAAAGGTCGGCGGTTCAAATCCCCGCGACGGGGTGAGCTCCCGTTGCTCGGTCCCTGCTCCTGCCAACCTAGCAGTTCGAAAGCATATCAAAGTGCAAGTAGATAAATAGGTACCACTCCGGTGGGAAGGTAAACAGTGTTTCCGTGTGCTGCTCTGGTTCGCCAGAAGCGGCTTAGTCATGCTGGCCACATGACCCAGAAGCTGTCTGTGGACAAACGCTGGCTCCCTTGGCCTGTAAAACGAGATGAGCGCGCAACCCCAGTCGTCTGTGACTGGACCTAATGGTCAGGGGTCCCTTTACCTTTACCTTTACCTTTAGGGCACAGGGAAGCCATGTAGTGCATACACAGCAGTCTCGGAAGGGAGGCCACTTTAAGGAGCATAGGGAAGTACCTTGCATACTTAGTTAGACCAGATGGTCCATGTACCCCAGTACTGTTTGCACTGGCTGGCAGGGAAGCACCATTTTTTCAGATGGGGGGAGCCTTTCCCAGCCTTACCTGGAGGTGCTTAAGATTGGGCCTGGGCTCTTCAGTGTGCAAAGCAGACTCGCTTACCACTGAGCAATTACCCTTCCCCAAACACCTCTGCCATGTTTGTCCTCAAACACTGACCTGTTCTTCTACCTGACACCTGCCGGCTACCCAATCATAAGCGTCACATGAGCCGATTGGAGTGTGCACACCCATAATACCTGGTACAGAGTGCATAGACCGGGCTGCTTCTCTGCCTGCTTACTAGCTTCGCACTGATTTTCAATGTCACCTTATTATAAATAACTTAATTTGAATCCAGAGTTCATTGGTGGTTTTTAAGCAGAGGTTGGATGTCCACCTGTTTTAGCTGAGATTGCTGCGATGCAGGGGGCTGGACTAGATGACTCTTGGGGTCCCTTCCAATGCTACGATTCTATTCACAAGTAAGTCTCATTGAGGCATGCTCCTAGATAAGTGGGCGCAGGATCGCAGCTTTCAGTGTCATCTTTTTTTAAAAGGTGCGACAGAACTCTTAGCTTCAGAGATTGGTAACAGACTGTGGCGATCACACAGGGTCCCCGGACATTTAACGGTCTATTGATCCCTGTGCCACCACTGTGCTCGCTTCCCTGCTGCCACCAACCAGTTACTCTCTGGTAAAACACTGAGTCCAGTCAGTTGTTAAAAGTGAACCAAAAAAAAAAAGTTTCTTTTACAAACATTAACAAGTTTATGGTTTCTCAGATAATATTCCTGTCCGTATCTTAACTTTTGTTTCTTTACTGGCCTATACCTTCCTATAACGAATATCTTCTGACTGATTATCTCAACTGTTTAACGCACAAACTTCTCTTCTCTGTCTTTTCTAACTCCAGACTGTCTTCTCAACAACTCTAACTCTCTAAAAACCTCTGTGCTTAAATCTTATACACCGTTAACTCCGCCCCCTGGGTTCCCATTGGTTAGTCGTTTTACAGTTAGTTAACCCTTTCCCTATGAACCCAGTATGATGTCACACACATAGGAGGGCAAACGCCACACAGACTAAAATATTTCCAGAGATTACGGCTGTTGCTTTTGCTGTCACCGAATTAACAGCGATCTGTCGAGATGCGCCTGCTTCTCCTAACACGAGAACCTGGATATGGCCAGTGAGGATGAAAGTTGGGGAATTCAGGGCAAAAGACAGAAGAAATGACTTTTTCACACAGTGCTTAGATAAACTGTGTTATTCTCTGGCCCCCAACTTGGGATGGCTCTAAAAGAGGCTCTACCAATAATTCTTCTGAACACTAGTGGCTGGGAATTTCAGGTGGAGAAGAGTGCTCTTGTGCAGAAAAACAGCTCTGACAGCTTTGCTTCTTCCCAGTTCCAGGCCAGACTCTCCTGCCTGCTCTCTGAGCCTTGCCCCTGACTGACCTCAAGTGCTCCGGAAATTGAAGAGATGCTGGACAAAATGAAATTATACTTGATCAGCGGAAGCACTGGACAGAGAGACATAAAACTGCGGGGGCTGGGGGAGTTGCCAATTTTTTTTAGAAAGGGTGTATTGCATGGTGAGCTTCTGTTTCATTCCTGGGGAAGAGGAGCTAATGTAGGGAACATTGATTGCGATTGCGTTTTTTAATCTGGGTGTGAAGTTATTGGAAATAGTAGGGGATGCTGGAGTGCAGGCTTCATGCAACAGGAGCTGTTTCTTAGGAATGCACTGCCTGAAATAATAATACAAAAGTGATCCTAACACAGTGTGAAGTCTTTTTGTTCTGATGCTGGTAGGGGTGAATACCAGTGCTTCTGAATACCAGTTGCAGGAACCTGCAGGAGGGGAGAGCAGAGCTAGGCTCTAATCCTGCTCACATGCTTCCCAGAAAAGGAGGCTGGTTTGTAGGCTTGTCCACATTTGAGCATTATTTACCATATTTTTTGCTCTATAGGGCGCACCTCACCATAGGGCGCACCTAGTTTTCAGAGGGGGAAATCAAGGGGGGAAATATGATTCTCCCCCCCCAGCTCTGGGAGCAGCAGCCTGTTCCCTTCTCCCAGATCTTCTCCCATCTCCCGCAAAAGCCCACAGGAGCCGCGCACCCTTTAAAGAGCACACGGCTCCTGCGGGCTTTTCGACCAAGCTTGTGGGGCTGGCGGTGGGGGGAACCGCTGCTTTCCCCCACCGCCAGCCTCAAAGACAAGTCTCTCCTGGTTTCAGCGAAAGCAACCCGAAGCCTCCGGAGCGCAGGCTTCGGAGGCTTCGCGTTGCTATCGCTGAAGCCAGGGAGCCTGCATTCGCCCCATAGGATGCACACACATTGCCCCTTAATTTTTGGAGGGGGAAAAGTGCGTCCTATAGAGCGAAAAATGCGGTAGCTGTTTATCCACCTTCCAGCCCATTCATATTAAACTGGAGTTCTCCACACCAGCACATATTTGAATTTCTGTAGGGGGAAGGGCGTTAATAATTAATATAATAAATGTATTATTATTAATAATAATTCCCCAGCCACTCTGGGCAGCTCCCAACAGAATATGAAAACCACAATAAAACACCAAACATTAAAAACATCCCTAAACAGGGCTGTCTTCAGATGTCTTCTAAAAGTCAGATAGTTGTTTATTTCCTGGTTACAGGGAACCAGGCAGAGGGCCTTCTCAGTAGTGGTGCCCGCCCTGTGGAACGCCCTCCCATCAGATGTCAAGGAAATAAACAAGCATCTGACTTTTAGAAGACATCTGAAGGCAGCTCTGTTTAGGGAAGTTTATAATATTTAATGCTGGGTTGTTTTTCACACTCGATTGGGAGCCGCCCAGAGTGGCTGGGGAAGCTCAGCCAGGTGGACGGGATATAAATAAAAATTATTATTATTCCTTGACATCTGGTGGGAGGGTATTCCACAGGGTGGGCGCCACTATGAGAAGGCCCTCTGCCTGGTTCCCTGTAACTTGGCTTCTCGCTGTGAGGGAACCGCCAGAAGGCCCTCGGTGCTGGACCTCAGTGTCCAGGCTGAATGATAGGGGTGGAGATGCTCCTTCAGGTATACTGGTCCGAGGCCATTTAGGGCTTTAAAGGTCAGCAAGAACACTTTGACATACTGGGAGCCAATGTAGGTCTTTAGTCTTTCCTGCTCATCCTGGTAGGCTTTCCCTTTTGCATTTGTCCCCACTGCTGTGTGAACTTTCCACACACACAAAATCCCTGCTCAAGAAGTGTGCAAACACATACTGTTGGGCAAGTGTAGATTTGCTTGTGTGGTTTCCTGGTTTTGTGCAAATCTGAAGGAATGAAAGAAGACGAAACGCGCTCCATTCAGGAGCGCACTAGAAATAGTTACACACACAGCCGGAAAAGAACAATGCACTTGAGCTCATGCGCATGGAAAGGAAAGCAGCAGAAAGCGACAATTGATCCAACCACCTCAGAACAGTATTGCCATGCCAAATGGCCCAGCTTCCCCTAACGTATTGGATTATCACTGTATCAGGTAAGCCAGACTTTACAGGGGGGATTTGAAGGGCAAACGTTATGTGGACTATGCGAATTAAATGGGGAAACACGCAGCAAACTCTGCTGTCGCCAAGCCCTCAGTGGGCCACTGGCTTGATGCAACAGGTTCATCTTAGATGGGCAGGGATTTCTTCTGTAGTGCAGTAAGGGGAGTGGTAAGAGAAAGCAACTAGAACAGATAAGGAAAATGATCTAACACCAGCTGCACCTGCTCAAATTCTAGACACACATGCATCTGATGCAGAAACTGACACATGCCCCACATGCATGAGAACCTCAGATTTGTTTCGGAGGCTGCATCTACAGCAGAGCAAAGTATCTGTTGCTATATCCCTGGCAATCACACCCCCTCTTCTTGTGGCACATGCAGTTCCACAGAAACAGCAAAATAAGCCAGCTCCAACTAAATAGTTGTGCTAGCTGGAGCTAGTAAAAGGTAAAGGGACCCCTGACCATTAGGTCCAGTCGTGACTGACTCTGGGGTTGCAGCGCTCATCTCGCTTTATTGGCTGAGGGAGCCGGTGTACAGCTTCCGGGTCATGTGGCCAGCATGACTAAGCCGCTTCTGGCGAACCAGAGCAGTGCACGGAAACGCCGTTTACCTTCCCGCCGAAGCGATACCTATTTATCTACTTGCACTTTGACGTGCTTTCGAACTGCTATTTTGGCAGGAGCAGGGACCGAGCAACGGGAGCTCACCCCCCCCCTGTCATTTGAACTGCCGACCTTCTGATTGGCAAGTCCTAGGCTCTGTGGTTTAACCCACAGTGCCACCCGTGTCCCTAGTTGGAGCTAGTACAAGTCCCATTACCACAACAGGACTCCCCCCCCTCCCCAAATTGGCTTGGGATATGTGGGAGAACCCATAGAATATCAAGCAGGGGCAGGAGGAGAAAGGAGATTATTCCACCTGGCAAGCAGAAACACTTTCGCTGATGGAACAATTGTAATAGCGCACCATTGAATTCCACCTCATGAAAATACCTTTGCAAGCAAACTCTCCAGGTGGGTGCATGGAATAAATTCAATGTCAAGGATGCCCTCCAACCTCCTGAAAAGGGAACTGGGCTGAAAAGCAGGGTTAAAAAAAACTCAACAACTTGCCAATTAAGCAGTATCGTAGGCCATATGAATGGAAGACAATTTTACTTGGCTACGAGTGATCGCCGAAGAAGAAGAAGAATATAAGCAAATATAATCCTTTGCTTACATGAATAAGAGAGACAATGCGGTTTACTTAAAATCAGCTTTAATAAATTTGTATCCTTTCTATAAAATAATTATTTTTGTACAGAAAGAAAAAAAGTCTATATACAGTACATTTTTAGCATTTTGAATAAAAAACTCCCCAGCCAAACTGAATGGCTGACAGGAAGTGGACCGGGGCCAAAAGGAGTCAATAAATTGGCACAAAATCACCGGGAAATTAAGTGGGAAAAGGATAACCCAATTTGTCAATGAAGGCACTTAGGCAACAAAATGATTACCGTGCAAGGCAGAGCTAAGTGTGATTCAGCCCATTTGTTTCACTCGATTTGAAAGCACCACTCTTTGTCGGACGTGCGGCCAATGCCAAAGCAAAAAAGAAAAAGGTCAAGATATTCTGAAAGAGAACGAGGTAATCAGGAATTGGCACAGTTGGGCCTGAAAAACCAGGATGGCAGATGGGCATAGCTGTCAACTTACAGATTTGAAAATAAGGGACCAGCAGTCTCAAAAATAAGGGATCAGCAGCCAAAATAAGGGATTTTGCTATTGTAAAGAGTTACATACATTGGTAGGATTGACAAATGCTAGCAATCCGGGATGAGGCGGTTGCGGCGGCGCCCTTCTGCGTCCCTCCCCATCCCCTCCTCTTCATCCTCCCTCAGGCCGCCTCCTCAGCCGCCGCCACTGCTGCCACCTCCGGGCTCGCGGGCGGTGTGGGCAAGAGTCTCTCTCCCTCCCCCCTTCTCTCTCGGGTGATGAAACTCCTCGCGCCAGGATGACGGCGCCAGTGCGCGCTCTCTCTCGCAGCGGAGGACCCCGAGCCGCTGCTTTCCTCCTGAGCCGGGTGAGCACGAAACCCGGGAAATTTAAGGGACATCATCAATAAGGGACCGCAGCGGGACACGGCGCTGGGATAAGGGAGTTTCCCGCCAAATAAGGGACGGTTGACAGCTGTGCAGATGGGAGTTATATAAGCTGTTTGAAAAGTTTGCCATGGAGTAGTTGTAACCAGTTGGGGAGGAGATCAATCGTAGCTTCCAGCCACCTCACTTGTCCACTTCTCCTCACTGCAAAAGCCGGGGGAACAGTCTAACACTGAGCTTACCACACCGTAGGCAGCTAAAGCTGACTGCCTCTCTGTGTGATAGGTTTTTAGAAGAGGCTCTCCCGAGTGCTTCCTGATCACCCGATTTAACTCAGAGAATGGCACACAGACCTGGAAAATGCTGTTTACTGAGAAGTTGCATAGCCCGCGAAAGAACATCAGCTGAGCCCTAAAGGAAAGGACACTTGTTTTACTGTGGCCTATAAAATCCAGCAAGATATCTGGTGGGGGAACATCGCAAATATCGACCAAACGTCTTTTTCGCTGGGTTGGACGTGACGAGACCCATGCCAAAAGGAAGTGGGATGACTTCTCGTGAAGATGTCTGCAGGGCTGGAAGGCAAGATGGGCAGCAAAACACCAGCGTGGAGGGAAACGTTGGCACTGGCACAGAATCAACGTGTGGGGAAGCACCGGCATTGCAGCAGTGGGAACGGGACGCCTGCCCAGCCTGGCACACGAGCACTTGCCCGCTGGGCAGAACACATCATGTGACATCGTGTGATGTGTGGGGCAAGTCAGCAGCCCTTGGGATGAACAGGACATCTTGACTGGATACAACCCCAAATGGGTGGACCAGAGGGAAGGGCAACATGTTAAAATGGCTGCCTTCATTTAAAAGGTGGGCTCTAAAATAAGATGGCCAGTAAAGGAGGAGGCGGAGGAGAATGTCTTCTCAATATGGCACCATTTAAGAAATCAATATGGCCGACACGGAGCAAGACAACGTGAGGCAAGAGTGGCAAGGCCCAAAAGGCTGAAATGTGTTCAAAATGCACTGGAAAGGAAAGCAAGGGAAGGGATATGTTAAAGTGCTCTTGAGACAGGCCTGGGGCCTAAAAGCCAGGAAGCAATATACTGTAGCAAGAGATGATGTGGACCAGTAACACCAAATTTTCTTCTACTTGGCCTTGCCATTCTTGTTCTTCTT